GTTGTCAACATGTACAGTAATGGGAAATCCAGACTCTTGACCGTTTTGCGTTAGCCGTTAGCTTCACCAGCCAATCGTTTCTGAGCACTCCAGCTGTTATAAATACCTCCATGGTCTCATCCATAGAGTTGAATACATGTCAGAGGAGGCGCAGCCAGCATCCACTGTTAGCATCTGTGACAACATGGAGGAGCAAAAACCGTGACAGCAACTATTAGATTAACATCAACTGGGTTTGTTTCACAAATTATCTGTAATATTTTTACAATACGTTAACTATGATAATTTCATTCAACAATCATATAAAACAGCAGATATATACCAGAAAAATTTATAAATAACAATGATCTAAACCAGACCTGAAGTCAGACTGTAACTAACTTAGACTTTAGCTAGTTGAAAAAGCTTTTAAAGAAACTTCACAATATCCTAGTTTAAGGTGTTTTGTTGTTTCCAGGTCACGTCGGAGGCAGATGTGCAGTCAGCAGTGGCTCTGGCCAGAGAGAAGTTTGGGAAGCTGGACATTGCAGTTAACTGTGCCGGCATTGCTATTGCTTWTAAAACGTACAGCTTCAACAAGGACTTCCCCCACCGTCTGGAGGAATTCCAGCGTGTTCTTAATGTAAGAAGAAGAACGTTAAACGTCCCCATCTTAAAATCCCACCTGACTTGTGCCTTCTGTCCTACAGGTGAACACCGCAGGAACCTTTAATGTGATCCGCCTGGCTGTGGGTGAGATGAAGAAGAACAAGGCGGATGCAGATGGACACAGAGGCTGCATCATTAACGCTGCCAGTGTGGCAGCTTTCGATGGACAGGTAGCCTTTTAAAACCACAGAGAAGACACAAGCAGGTGACCTGTTTACCAGCTTTCTTTGATTTTATGGTTTTGTTTTTCCTTCAGACCGGACAAGCAGCCTACGCTGCTTCTAAAGGTGGCATCGTTGGAATGACCCTCCCCATTGCACGAGATCTGGCACCAATGGGCATCAGAGTTGTCACCATAGCTCCTGGTTGGTGTCTTTGTTATCACTGGAAACACACCTGTAGATCATATTTACTGTACTGATGCTCATAACTGATAAATACTCTTAAGCTGTATTCATACCAAACGCGTTTTGAGCATTAGCATTAGGTTTACATGCAAAGTCTATAGTGGACACGTGTCAAGCAGCGTCGGGAAGTGCCGTGGTGCGTTTAGTGCGATTAGTGTGGTGCGATTTGAGCGAATGCTGGAAAATCTGAACTTTTGCAGCTAAACGCGGTGCGTCAACCAATAGGCTACGTTCACACTGCAGGCAAAGGCAACCCAAATCCGATTTTTTTTGCCCCATTCGACTCATATCTGATTTTATTTTATGACAGTTTGTGAAAAATCTGATTTTTTCAAATCTGACCCAGGCCGTTTCAGTATGTGGTTCTAAATCAGATACATATCTGATGTTTTCAAAGTGACTGCAGTGTGAACGCTCATGTCACATTCATCTGACTTTTTCATCGGTGAGGAGGAGGTGAAGGATCGATAAGACACTAACCTCAAGTCACGCTGTTTAAATCTGTTGCTCCTTGTGTTTAAAGCTCCAAAACACAAGTCCAGTTGCTTCGTCTTTTTATTTTTAATTTTCCATGTAGATAGTAACGTCCAGCCTCAGTCGAGGAGCGTATCGATCCTCAAGTTACTCACGCGATACTTTATTTACAGCTCGTTGCTTCATTCCAAAATAAAATGCTTCACCGGAGCATCCGGTCAGAGACAGGTTCAGATATAAACACTGAACTAAACAAGCATGTCAGATAATTATTTAATCAGCTAAAATGCTAAAAGTAGCATCCATGCTAGCTCTGTAAACAAACAAGCCGGCTGAATGAGAAGTCATGTCTTTGCTGCGCATGCGTGTCACATCAGTGCTGTGTAGCGTTCACACTGGAGTCTGATGCAGGTCGCATTTAAAATGTAATGTGAACGTTCACACAAAAAGATTGGATTTAAAAAAAATCTGAATTGAGCATTAAGACCTGCAGTGTGAACGTAGCCACTGAGACTTTACTGTGACTTACTGACAGATTTTCCAGTGGGACAGTTTCCTGTATGACGTACACTAACCTGAGACAGATGGACAGGAGCTCCTTAGCTGAAATCGAGTGCCTGTAGTTGGTGTCCTGGCAGGAGATACCAGCACCGTTGTGGGTCACCGGCTCATCAAACTGGACTCGAGACAAAAATAGTTCTGTAAGCGAGCCTCATCAGCTCACAGCTCCTGGAGCGGTGAAACTCACCAAACTCAGAACATGTCTGGATTATCTGGTGAAATGATTATAAATTATCTGATTAGCGCGACGTTCTCTTGCTCTCAGTAAATAAAGCAAAGCCACTTCTTTTTTTCATCTTCCATTAAACAGAGACCGACGGAGGAGGGGAAAAACAGGGTCTTGACGTGTTTATCATGCGTCACGTGTRTCTAGAAGTTTTGACTCACGTCTGATCTCAAAGTGTTGGAGATGGTCTTGTAGCCTTTGTCTCTAACCTTCCTGAGCCCCTTAGTCTGCTCTCAGTGTGAAGAACACGACCACACCAAACTATCCAGTGGATGTTTGGTAACTTTAAATAGACTGAAAGATGAGGAGTCCGAAGGCTCACTTTGTTTAAAACTTTGTTTAAAACATGAATATAATATAAGATCAATCTACAGTTTTTAAACTGAACCGCTTTTATAAGAAGTGAAGTTTCATTGAGGTGTAAAGGAACCAACAAATTTGCCAGTATCTGTATTCGAATGTGTTAATCTTTCAACGTGGTAAACAGTGTTAGTTGTGTCTGTCTGTAAACTTTAAATATTTTATTTATTTTATGAACTGCTGTATTTCAGTGAAATCTTTTTTTTTATCCAGGGTTATTCGCCACTCCTCTCCTGAGCAGTCTGCCAGAGAGGGTCCAATCCTTCCTTGCACGCCAGGTGCCCTTTCCTCCTCGCCTGGGAGACCCCGCGGAGTTTGCCCACTTGGTGACAGCGGTGGTGGAGAACCCTATGCTGAATGGGACGGTCATCAGACTGGATGGAGCCCTCCGCATGCAGCCCTGATTCTGTGTGTTTGTATCAACATGTCAGGATAAAACTAGTGTCATCTGCCTTGTCTGTGTGTGTGTGTGTGTGTGTGTGTGTGTGTGTGTGTGTGTGGACGGGTTTTTCCTACAATGTGGGAAAATTTTTCCCAAAAAAAAGCAGCCTCGTGGGGACCGGGCATTTTCCCCCCACGGGTCTAAATGCAAATTACAGTGGGGGTTAGGTTTAGGACCAAGGTTTAGGTTAGTTTTAGGGTCAGGTAGGTACCTATGAGGTTAATTTTAGGTTAAATGTCAGGGTTAGGCTAGAAAGCCTAAAAAAATGAATGGAAGTCAAGGGAAGGTCCCCACGGGGTTGAAGAACAAACGCGTGTGTGTGGCTGCCTGGTGTTTTTAGAAAGTGACACGAAATGAATATAAACATTCATAAATTACTTTAATCAGATGGATCTAGAATGTATTTCATTTAGACATMTTCAAAGAATAAATATCAGATGGGTTTGTTTGAAAAATAGTTGAGTTTTCATTTTATTCCTTAACTGGAGTTTTTCTGTGTCAGAATGATTGTAAAATCCGTTGCTTCAGTTCTCTGTCATCTTGAGTGAAAATGACAACGAAGAAGTACTGACTGAGACTAAACAGCAGTGGTGGGCAGCGCTAATCCAAAAGTTAGCTGCGCAAGTTCTAAAGCATTTGCGTTGTGGAAATCTTAGTGGAAGCTAATTATGAAGCAAAATTGACTCAGAGTTCGCTAGAGTATATCCCAGTAGTAACATGAACCACTCTTGCATAATACTGCTGACTAGAGGCATGTCATTTTACTTTTACAGTGTTGCACACATCGCCGCAGTTTGGGGAGGTGATGTGTTAAAACAAACTTCTGGCTCATGATGATGAAAAAACTGGTTGAGGATTGCTGGTTCTGCTGCTTCTTGGTCATTTTCTTATGGTAGGGGTTCAGTAAGAAAGCATGCAATGTACTGATGACTCTTGTGTAATAGGTGGAAAAGGTGGTGTTGGTTTACAGTGGTGGGCATAGTTTCCCTAAAGCATGAATAGGGGAACTAATTTCCTGATTAGTGCTTTAGGGATTTTGCTAATTTTATAATTATGATATATTATGATATTTCATACTGTTTTTTTTTTTTTTTTTCAGTGATTTTTGGTCAACCGTAGCACAAAAACGGCTACACCGGTCAACATGAAATTTTGAATATGTCCCCTTTAAAAAGACCCCAGTATGTTTTAAAATGTCCTGCTGACTCACTGCTGTTTTAGAAATCAATAATTATGATATATTATGATTTCAACTTTGACTTTTGTCAAAATCTCATATTGGCACTACTCAAACAGTACAATATTGTACATGATTTCNGATTTTTGGTCAACCGTAGCACAAAAACGGCTACACCGGTCAACATGAAATTTGGCAGGACTGTAGATGAGTCCGACCTACACTGCGCCAGCCAAGGGTTTTACGATACACCACATATTTGAGGAGGGGGCCCCTTTCAAAGAGGGGGTGTCTGGACATGGAAAAACGCTTATAACTCAGAAACTGTTCAACACAGAAGCTTTAGATTTCTTTTGTTGTTCAGCTCTGATGAAGCTCTATCCATCAGGCCCACCAATCAGTGCCCCCCACCCCCCCGGACCCCCAATTTATCTGAAAAAGTGGTATCTGGACATACAAAGATGGTTATTGCTCAAAAACTATTAACCGTAGGAGCTTCAGATTTTCTTTGGTAGTGTAGCTCTGAAGAGGGGCTATCCATCAGGTTAACCAAGGCCTGCCCCCCTCCCCCCTAAAAAAGACCCCTACACCGAGTAGCATGACATTTATTAGGAATAAAGACGTCTGAGTTCTGTGCATGCGGGGGTCATTATGTTACCGCCATGCGGTATCTAGTTTATTAGTGGATTAGCACTTGCTAAATTTAGAAGCTCTGAGATCTATAAATGTTATTGATCATCGTTAATGTGTCGCACATTTTGTTTACATGTGTGTCACTCATCCACCAGGTGACAATATATGAACCCAAATATGGCTGTGGAATGTCAATGATAAGTCTTAAAAGAGCAACATGGCAACATGTGACTCATGTTGTCTGTTGAAGAATGTTCATGGGTTGACTGGGTTATTTTAGTGCTTTAGAATTAGCTTTTGCTAAATTCTTCAGTGCGTTAGTGCTTTAGAATTAGCGAACCTAAATATTTGAGGTAGTGCTTAAGGGCTAGTGAAACTAATTTGTAAATTAGTGCTGCCCACCTGTGCTGGTTTATTTTAGACATTCAGGCAAATACAACAGAAAAAATAAAAACATACACAATGAGGAAAAGCTTCATTTTTCACTGACAAGAGTTTGCTCTTTAGTAATTACAGTCGTCTTCAACATGCTGGTTAAAAGCAGCCTGCTGTGGGGTACTCCCAAAATTCAGAGGCCATGTCAGCAGATTCTGTCGTGGACAGTAAAGAGACGTTCATAATTTTGTTTTTTCTCCTGGTAATGTTTTTTTTTTCTTTAACCACAAAGACAATCAGTCCAGATCAGATGTAGACATAATTCCCTTTCACTTTAGACTTAAAGTGAGTTAAACAACGTGCCGTAAGTCAGGCTGCTGTGGGCTACCTCCAAACACCAGAGGCCATCAGCAGAGAGGTGTTTGTCACCTTCAGTATGATGAAGAAAGCTTTCTCTTTTTGATGACAAGTGGTAGTATTCTTTTTTAAAACACAACTGTCATGATGTTGGTGTTCCAATGTCCTTGCCTGGGATCTAATGTGTCTATGAGGGGCTCGTCCGGGATTTGAACCCCGGACCTCTCACACCCTAAGCGAGAATCATACTCCTAAACCAACAAGCCAAAAAGTGTCTCAAGTCTGCTTGAGAAATTTGAAGTGATGTCTTTAATGGCAGGTTTAAAACATAGAAAATAATGACTTGATGTAATACAGTATGTCAGAGGTAGACATATTTACCTTATAGTTAAGACTGAAAGTGAGTTGAACAACATGCTTAAAAGCAGGCTGCGGTGGAATACCCCCAAACTCCAGAGACCATGTTTTGTTTAGCAGCAAAACACTTAAGATGTTTCTGTCAACTGCAGTATGATAAGGAAAGGCTTAATTTTTTTGTTGAAAAGTGAAAAGCGTTTTTAAAATTCAGTTGTCTTTATCTTGGTTTGTCAATATTCTTTCTTGGGATTGAATGTGCGTATCAAGGGCTCGTCCGGGATTTGCACCTGGAACCTCTTGCACCCAAAGCGAGAATCATACTCCTAGACCAACGAGCCACGATTGCATCAAAGGACTTTTTGAGAAATTTGAGAATGGAAGTCTGCAATGTCAGGATTAAAACATGAAAAATACTATCACTTGGGCATGTGTACACCCTACAAATGCTTTGATATGGCATTTTCCTAGAGTCAGTTTTCCTCATTCAGCATACAAAGTGGAAGTGGTGAAACTGACCGTATTAATATTTTAAAACTGCCTGTGTTGTGTTTTATGACATCCAAAAATGTTCAGATATTTTCGGTTCACAACAGTAAATATCAAAAGTAAAATTCTGAGAAAGTTTAGACTGTTAGGCTGACACCGCTTGTGAATCGAGTTGCTCTGAAATAGGGCTTGTCCCAAATTTGAACAGAGGACCGCATCCAAGGCAAGACTCAGATTGCTAGTCCAATGAACTGACATTCTTAAAGAAGGATGCTTATAAAATGTGGGCAAGGTCCTATCAAAAATTATGTAAAAATTGATAAATTGTCAGTTGGAGGAAGGTAGCATTGAAAAGAGTTTCGAGGCTAATTTGGTACAGTTGCAGTTTTGGGCAAGAAATTGCATTTGCTTACAAAAGGATAGGTAACAAGGATACATTTGCAGTAATTTCAGTCTTGCAGAAGCTTGATATGAATTCCAAAACACGGTTCCTAAATTGAGCAAGAGTAATATGTCAGTGGTAGACGTACTTCCCTTTTACTTTAGACTTAAAGTGAGTTAAACAACATGCTTAAAGTCAGGCTGCTGTGGACTAACTCCAGAGGCCATGTTTCGTTTGGCATTAGCAGAGAGGTGTTTCTGTGAAATTCAGTATGATGAAGAAACCTTTTTGTTTTTGATGACAAGAGGCAGCATTCTTTTTTAAAACCCGGCTGTTGTGATGTTGYTTTTTCAATGTCCTTCGCTGGGAATGAATGAATCTATGAGGGGCTCCTGCCTTAGCTCCACGTCTGCTCCCGCCTCCTCCTTTGGCTCAACGTTTGCTCCCACCTCCTCTTGTGGCTCTACGTCTGCTGCTGTTCCTGCTGGGCCTCACTTTGGATGGTCTCCTGGCCGTCCCCCTGAACTCTGCATATTTTGTCCTCGAGTCTGTGTTGTCTTGTGTTTACCTGAGTCACGTCCATCTGCTCTTTTCGACGTCAGGAGCCGTCGTTGAGGGGAGGGTCCTGTCATGATCGGTGTTTTTGTCTTCATTTTCTAGTGTTTTTCTGTTTCTTTGCCCTGCAGCAGCACCCTCGCTCACCTGTTTCCTCTTGTTTCCTATTTTCCCTTAATTTGTTTGCTTTATATTCTGAGTCTTCTGTATTTGTCGGATCATTGCTCAGTCTGCCTTGACTGTGTCCTACCTCCGTGTTTTGATTTTTGATTTATATTAAAGACCTTGTTTTCCATTTTTGAACCTGCCTGCGCCCAGGGTAATTTTGCTTACACAAAACCTGATATTTTCCAGCCATATATAAGCTACTTAAAAGAAGGATTTCATTTCTATGCCAAGTTCAGTAACTACATTTGTTTGTCAGATGATTGGCATCATGTGCTGCACAGTGAGTTTCAAGGTTTTGTCTTGATACCAAATAAATTTAATCAATAAAATTGTTTAACTGTTACCTGATTTTTTCTTTTGTCAAATTGCATTTCAAACAATAGAAATAATTCAAATAATTCATTCAAAAATAACAATTGAATTGTAACTTACTGCTACATATTTTACAACATGGATTCAACTGATGTGAAGGAATTGAACTGAATAACGTAAGTGTTTCGTGAGTCCTCATTGCTGAGGA